CTTGACGTATAAGGTGTTTGAAGCATCCTGATGCTCCACCCTTACTGACGTCAATAAGAGTATTGATTAGCTGCATGAAGTTAACATCTAAATTTTATGTAGCTACTCTAAGCTCCCTTGAATATCCATTAGGAATCTGAACACATTTTGACAATAATAATTGAAGGTTTTTTGTTAAGAAGCCCACCATAAAAGTCAAGTAATGGACTAATGGAGGGTGCAATATGATTCTATTTAGAGTTTATGTAGTCCCTTTTGTAATATTAGATAATGATAGTTCTAATGTGTTACCACTTACTATTTTTGTAAACTTGTTTGAGAAGCTTAATTTTAGTAGTTAGAATTTACCTCATTTATCATCTCTGCAAAATTTGTATGTTCAGGAAAAATGCAAAAGCCATTGTTGGAGCTGCTCAAGGAATATGACATGGCAATAGGCATTTTCCCTCGTGATGCCACCAACTATGAGTTCGATGAAGAGACACGAAAGTTGACTGTCTACATACCATCAGTCTGTGAAGTGGGTTATAGGGATTCTTCTGTCCTGCGTTTCTCAACTGTTGTAACTGGATATCTAGAGAAGGGTAAGTTGGCTGATATAGAAGGAATAAAAACAAAGGTGATGATTTGGGTAAAAGTGACTGCTATTACGTGTGAAAAATCAAAGCTCCATTTCACTGCTGGCATGAAGAAAACTCGGAGCAGAGATGCTTACGAGGTTCTTAGAGATGGCGTAGGTGTAGATAAGTTCTAAGATGGTCGAGTTTCTTTCAGTTACTTGGTTGTCACAATACATTTTAGAAGTATTTGGACTTTCTCTTTAGCTTGATATCTTAATGTTTAGTTGCTTTAATTGTAACTTGTGCAATCAATACGTGTTTAGGAATTTTTAGTTCATGAATTGTGTTTAAAGTTAATACTTCTGTCCTATGATGACATCTTCAGGACTGCTGTTGGTCTATTACGTTGATTTAATAAACTGCATTTTGCTTCAAAATTTTCACCTTTTTATGTTCTTATTTACTTATTATGGGGGCAACCTCAAGACTGTTATCAGACGAATGTGAGTTACTTGAGCACAGAATTCAGCCTTTAGATATTGTTAAAGTATTGCAAAGTGCCTTTGAATTCTGTGCTACACTAGAAAGGGAACTAGCGGAGCATTGAAGACAAAACTGTGTTTGCAGTTGTCGATTTTCATTTGACACCACCTCGTGAACAAGCAACTAATCTAACACACAGGATACAAGTATAACCATGTGTAGCCTAATGTTAGCCCCGTATCGGCTGTGATGGCATCTGCATAGGGCGTGCCTTGCTCTATGTCAATGTCTTGGCACGGGTGTGCGGGAATTGTACTCATTTGACAAAGCATCGGGCTGTTGTTGAATTGATGTGCGAGTGATTGGCGCATTTGGCCAAGCTGTGTGCAGTGTTTGCACAGATGTGCAAGGAATGACCGCATAGGACGGGGACAGAGACGATGAACTTCAGTGTCATGGCAAGCTGATTTCAATTCATGTTTGAAACCTGTAACGCCTAAAATGGAAAGTTTCTCCAATATTGAAGTTATGTAGAGTGAAGAATTATGTTTGTTTTTTGTGGAAGTGAAAAAGAAAGGTCTTGTAATGCCATTATGCTTGTGAAACATCCAAGCTGGGTACGTAAAAGGCAATGGAATATACCTTTATCTCGTTCAGACAAAGTGCACGTTTTTCCTGTCGAAAAGATTAGCAAGAAATGAGAACGTGGACCATTGGCCAGTAAGAGAACACTAGGGAAACTAAAAAATACATGCACCAGCCGGGAATCGAACCCGGGTCTGTACCGTGGCAGGGTACTATTCTACCACTAGACCACTGGTGCCAATTGTGGTGACATTTGTTACCATTTCATATAGATTTGAAATATTGAAATTTAAAAATGTTAAATTTAAAAAAAAAACAAAATTTGTATATATTGAAATCTAAATATCAGCCTTACTAATATTCTTTCAATTTGCAATTGATTTTTTTTTTTTTTATCTACTATTGGTTATCTTAACACGTTTGCTATATGTCCATCTTGTCAAGAAATTATCTCTTCTACGTATGCTTTAAAAGTTGAAAATATGAAAATTTTCTTTTCTTTAATTACCTATATTATTAAATTACACCATCGCATTCACATTTTGATGCTTTCACATAAGACCAATCAATCATTCATTTTGAAGGTCGAGTTATTGTACTGTACACAAGAGCATTATCGAGATTATCTACGTAGGTTATTAGTATTGAGTCTTGAAAATTCATTTTAAAAGATAAATAATGTGAATTTAGTGATAAAGTTTCTAATTTTCACATCCTAAACTCAAACAATTGAGTATGAAAAGTTTATCATTTTTTAAAAGTATAATCTCGCTTCATCCACGCTCCGAAACCCCATTATAGGATATGCCTAGTCATGATATTGCAATTTCTTGGCACGTGCCACGTAGAGACAAAACTGAAGGGTCCCACTTAGTGTGAACACATTTCAAAACCCCAAGATGCCTTCTTGATTTTGATGTCTTCCTTGATACTCCCTTGGTACCACAATATTTCGGATCAGACCACGAGCCCGCCACACGCCCTGTCGATGTGGACCCATTGTCACACTCCACGTGTCGGATTCTCAACGGCCAAGATTACTTTCCCACTTCTATATAATTCTTCACTCTAATTCCCTCAAATCATATCTTGAATTCATCTTCTTTAATCTGTTCTTACATTGTTTTCTTTTCTAAGATCTGTTTGAGTTTACCTTTTTTTCATAATGTTTCTTGAAGCAATTTCAGCTGTTTCTGGTTCAGGTTTAGGGACCTTGTCGAATTCGACTGTCTTTTTGAGCCCTGCGTCTCCTAATTTGAGTTCTTCGTCTGTATTGAATCTTGTTTTGCCAAAAAAAGGCGAAAACAGGTTCGCGGTTTATGCTGAAAAGGGTAGTTTGGCACTCACAGGTGTGGTGTTTCAGCCATTTGAAGAGATTAAGAAAGCTGATCTTACGGTCCCAATAGCTCCTCAGCTTTCACTTTCCCGCCAGAGGTTCTCCGAAGAGTGCGAGGCTGCAATTAATGAGCAAATCAAGTGAGTTCTCGACCCCTTTTTCACTTTGTCTTTTTATAAGGATCTAGTTGTTTTGGATCTTCACGTAAATCTAGCGATGGATGCAGTAAATGGGAAAAGGGATTCCGATCTATTACTGGAAACTCCGATTTGGAAGGATCTGCATCTTTTTCTTGTATTTCATGTCTGAAAATTCTTATACTTTCAACTATTGCTTCTACTAACATATTGATCTTCTCTTTTCGTTTCAGCGTGGAGTATAACGTGTCATATGCGTATCACTCCATGTACGCATACTTCGACAGGGACAATGTTGCTCTAAAAGGCCTTGCCAAGTAATTAAAACAGTCTCAAACGCCTTCTTGAATTTCAATTATTCTCTGTTTTCCCCTTTTCCTGACTTGATCGAATGTGTCATGGTGTTTGGTCAGCTTCTTTAAGGAATCGAGTGAAGAAGAAAGAGAACACGCAGAGAAACTAATGCAATATCAGGTAAACGTAGAGAAATTAAAAGAAACACTTTTAAAAAAAATGAACTTTGTATATAGATTTGAATGCATATATGATATGATTTTCTATTCGTCTTGATGGATAATAGAACATACGAGGAGGAAGGGTGAAATTACATACGATGCTAATGCCCCCGGAGGAGTTCGGTCATGTTGAGAAGGGTGATGCACTATATGGTAATTATAGTTTTTTGCCCTCGGGTACACGCTCGATAGGACAGGATTAGACATGATTAAGGAATAGATATACGTAACAAAATTGTCAATTATGTTATTGAGTTGTCTCTAATGAATAGTGGTTTTCTTGATTCAGCAATGGAACTTGCTTTGTCCTTGGAGAAGTTAACTAACGAGAAACTTCTGAACCTGCACAGCGTAAGCATTCTCCGACCTCTTTTGACATGTTTGGTATGTTGTACTGGACTGAAAAACTAAAAAATGACAAAGTGATGTCCAATTTGTGGAACCAAACATATAGTTTATGTTTTTATCTCATGATAGTTACTCATCTAATTCTAGCAGAAGCTGAGGTATTAATCACTTGTTCTTGATGAAACAGGTGGCTGATCAAAACAACGACCCCCAGATGGCAGATTTCGTAGAGAGCGAATTTTTGGAAGAGCAGGTAAATTGCTGATATATGAACTAATGAATTTAGAAAAGAATATCCTTATTTCAATCGTTTTCAACTTTTCCAGGTTGAAGCCATTAAGAAAATTGCAGAATATGTTACTCAATTAAGGATGGTTGGGAAAGGACACGGTAAGAAAACGTCCTCTTCACTAAAGCATATTCTTCTCTACATTTCGATCCTTTTCTTCTTATTATTGAGAAGTACTTGTTCGTATATGTGTAGGAGTGTGGCACTTCGACCAAAAGCTCCTCCACAATGGCAATGGTGCAGTATGAAGATGCCTTGTATTGTTTGTTCTTGATTATAGTCGAGCTATGTCTCCTCGTATCAGTTCTGAGTTGTAATAAGTTGTTAGTTTATGGATTTGTTATTTTCTAGACGAAGTTTTAGGTTGGATCTAAACCTTAACCTCAACCTCTGAAACATGTCTGGAAAATAGAAAATCTTGTACTAGAACAATGTTTGGTCAAATCTTTTTTCGAAGATAATGCTCTATGTGCTAATCTTATTCTATGTTTCATAAATACATGATGCTGGCAGTGCCTAATCCATGTAATCTTATGGAGAAACTGGTGTTTGTGCCCTTTTTTCTTCGTGTCATGAATACATCAACAATAGCAGCCGAGTTTTATCTGCTACTGTCATTACTACAAAGCTAAGACGATACCTATAATCGAAGCTGAAAGAGAGGCAAGAGGACGTGCATCCCAGCTACCAAATCAAATCATTTTGTCCTATACTATCTAATCCTCGTACTGAACATGCCACCGGTGTTCAACTTGGTCGGAAACAAAATCTCCAGCACAGAACTTTCTTTCTACGTTTTTTGTTGTGAGCATCAAGAGGGAATGAAGGGTGTATCATCTCCCACATAACCTCTATGTCTCTATAACCTGCACAATCCTCTATGTCCTCGTAAAGTGTAACCATCCCTTGCCCTTTTCCTGTACAAAAACAGAAATGATTTCAGGCTAACGAACTTTTTGTTACCACCAAAACAAAATACCAATCCTTACTTCTTGAAATCTAGCAATAATATTAACCTTTCAAACATCCTTAAGGCCTTGTATGGGAGGGATTAAAATCGGATTAAAATTGAAAATATAGTCGTTATTGTTGACTTTTATTAGACGGGTGGGACCTAATAACGACCATATTTTCAATTTTAATTGGATTTTAATCACTCCCGAACTGGTTACTTCTTGATATCTAGCAATAATATTAACCTTTCAAACATCCTTAAGGCCTTGTATGGGAGGGATTAAAATCGGATTAAAATTGAAAATATAGCCGTTATTGTTGACTTTTATTAGACGGGTGGGACCTAATAACGACCATATTTTCAATTTTAATTGGATTTTAATCACTCCCGAACGGGGCCTAAATGAAAGTTTAAGGTATAAAAATCCAAGCCCACCTCCAAAATTCAATTCTTCAAATTATTTATGTTCGAAATAGTATCCAAACGCTTGTTTTACTCATTCAAGAAGCAGCTTCCAAGGGGGCGTAAGGAAGGAACTCCCTCGGTAAGTTGCCTCCAAGAATAAGTCTCTCTTCTCGGACGCAGGAGACATAAGAACGCGCTAATGGAACACAACCACATAATGCAAATGGATTTCATCATCATGTAACAAGATGGAAATCACGACGATGAACTTGTGATAATCAATTCATCTTACCTTTGGCTTTATGTCTGAGAATTGTAGTAACATTAACAAGCATATCCTTTCTTGTTGGACAAAGAAACGAGTTTCTGAAACTAAAGCACTGCCAAAAATATCTATTCACCATTTCCGCAAACACCATTTTTCACCATTGTCTATATATATATATATATATATTTTCATTCACTTAAGCCCAACTTTATTAGTTGAAGTTTATGGCACTAAACAACAAAAACCATCCGACATAGCAGAAAGCAACAAGCATCAAGAAAAAATGCCTTATGAATTCAATAATCTTAAATGAATTCATTCATAAATGTGAAAGCTCTAGTGGGATAGTCCAATTTGATCTATATTTTTCCTCGTAATTAAGCTAATATAAAAAGATTAAGAAAAAATATATTAATTTCGTTAAAAGTGACTCAAAACTAGGGAGACCCTATACAAAATATAGACTACCACCCCTTGTGACCTCGTTGACCTTACAACGAAGGTCAAACTGTAATCGAGAGGAAAAAGTAAATAGTATAGTTTAGCCATATGCAATCCAAGATATCCTTATGATTAAGCTAATATAAAATAATATCAAAGAATTAGAATAATTTTTCAAGGGAGATGAATTTGGAGCAAGTTGTGACAGAGAGAATAGTTTAATGGGAAGAATTAAACACTTTGAGTAGGAGCAATTGGTTTGGAATTTTGCTTTTCCTACTTATTTGTCTAACCAAAGATTCTCAAATTTATTGCTCAAGGAAGGTAAAGATTGGCCCCACGGTCAAACGGTTGGTTGGTTTTTCCTCCAATGGCTTTGTGTTTGTGTGGACTCTTGCCTTCTCTCTCACACAAGATTAGTCCATCAATAATTTAATAGTTTGATTAGAAAATTTAGTGACTAATTCGAGTTTTGGGAGTGGAATTGTAGAGTCCATTGTGGTCCTGAAAAAGAAAAGTTTGTACCTGTTCAAATTACTATCGATTTCATTTGCACGTTCAAGTGAGTTGTCATGGGTCCAGGACTTGACATCTCAAATAAATTTGACTAATCGTTACATAATGGTATTAGAGCTTATTAACTAGTTGGGAGTGTGTCGACTACATATAAGACTTGTACAAACTACTTTTTTCATGTGGAAGCAAAATACGGACGAATTGTTACGGGGTTTAGAACCTAACACTAAGCCCCCGTTTGACACCCACTAATTTCTCATTTTCATTCTCATTTTTCAATCACTCATTCTCCAAATAAAATAATATTACACACAAATCGAAAAAAATTCATCACTTTTCCACCACACATTTTTACATCAATCACTATTTCAAAATTTCGATTCTCCTCAAAATTAGATTCAAACACACCCTAAATAACTTCATTTTACGACAATTTCATATTCAGGAGTTGACAAGAGATGCCCTTCAAATCCGAACTGCTATAACTACATGAAAAAAGAGATTATAACCCATTAGTAACATATATAATGTTAAAATATGGTAAAAGTAGTAACCAGAAACTAAGCATGTGCTCTCTAACAAAAAATGTCGATTTAGTGAACTAACTCATATCACCAACTCGTCACTCTTACACCCAAACTCGTTCCCTGTGATCAGTTTTAGGGTGGGGGAAAATTTGGCACTATTATTCACTCAACCAAACATTAACACTAAATTTAACATGTTTGAGATTGGGATGAATGGATTCAAATCAAACGCACATCGATCTACAGCCCAAAGATTAAGCTGATACGCCATGTGTCGTTCATCGACTTAATTTACTCGTGCCAAATGGCCTAAAACCCCAAACTCATGAAGATGAACCTCATCAATAGCAGTTGTCATTCCTATATTCAGTACAAAATAGTATTAAAGACGAAGTGGTCAAGACCTTTGATTCGAACCACAACACAAATCCTACAGTACGCAAATGGAAGCCCATCCAGCATTTGATTCGAGCAAGAAAAACTAAAAGTAATGTTGGGTTTTTTGATACCCAATAAATCCGGGTTATGATGTTAAACCGGTTTTTTTGGATTATACTTCATAGGCCTCGACCGATGATTGAAGTAAAATGTCGACACCACAATGAACGAATCATCCCGACAAATTAAGTGGGCCATTTGAAGTAGCCTAATTTCATTAGCGTTGCTCATTGCTCGACCCATTACCTTGGACGTCTTTAAAGTTGAAAGCCCACTTGTTATATATTGGGCCTCTTATTAAGATAACCTAAAAGCCTATTATTGTTGGTATTTATGCATCCCGGTTTCTAGTGTGTGAGCGTGTGGAAGAGATGTAGGAGCCATGAGTCTGAGTGAGAGCGTGGCTTTGTGCTCTTGGGTCTTGCTTTGTGCTTACCTTGTCTTCTCCTTCCTCTTTAGCCTTAGTGGCTATTTCTTGAGACTGCCTAACTCTTCACACCGAGTCCTTTGTGAACTAATTCTTGTTGAAGCAACCGGTGTTGGGTGGTGTCGGTTTTGAAGGTTTGTTGGTTGTTATTGTGGTGGTCGATTGGTGGTTTATCTGAGCTTGGTTTGGGTTAATTGGAGCCCCAAAACCTTACAAGTAAAAGCTAATGTTAACACGTTTTCTCCCAAAATTTGATTCTATATCTAAGCTGTTGTGGCTGATTGGGCAGCAAGTCTCTTCCTGGCCTTTTCAGTGATCAACTTACAATCAAGCTACATGTACGCTAAATTTTACAACAAATTTGACATTATGGTGAAGTGGCATTTTTTTAAAGATTGATTTTCACAACACTTTAAACAATCAATGACACAGATTTTGACAACACTTGGAGTGTCAAACTTGATGTACACCAAGTGTATACAACTAGTTTAGTCCAACAACTTAATACCTTGGCCCTTTGGTAGAGCAACCCAAGGCTTTGTACCTTTTACAATAGTGAAAACATTACCCAGATGGGTAGTAAATTCATGCCCAAGAACATCCTGAATGTGGATAGTTTCAAAACTTCCCCTGTGCTTCTCCCGGTTCTTGATTTCTCCAAAATGTCCTCTGTTCCTTCCACCAGTCACCATGACAAAATTTCTAACGTCAAATTTGATGAAATCAGTGATTTTATTACTCTCTGAGTCGAGTCTCAATAGTCAATTCAACTCAAATACCATTCACAAAGAAATCTCAGAAAATGAGAGGTAATTGAACAAAGCTGTAACTTCAAATCAAATGTTCATTTGATTCCATAACAAGAATTCAGTATATTAATGTAGATGTGCACCAAAAGTTACATAACTTCTACTGCGGAGAATGTCTCACAAATTTATCATCTTCCAAATGCAATTACAAGTATCAAATGCAGTCAGCTTTGCCGGGTCAATCTCAAAGTTATTTACGATTTTCTTTTCTCTCTCCACAATATCTATGATCATCAAGTTAAAGGAAAATGCAGTAACCACATAACGCAGAGGAGATAAAATCAAACCCAAATGCAAAAGCACTAAACGAATGATATGAATATTCAAGAAGGATACGACCTGATATTCTAATTAGATCGTCCATGTTTGGAATGATATTTGTCAAGGAAGCATACATTGACAGCTTCATCCTACAAGATCAAAGAAAATTATATTAAGTTTCTATGGTTTATGAAGAAAGAAATTGAAGCAAACACCTTTTCCAACGTAATGTTGAGAAAACTTCAGACCACTTACTGAGCTCTCAGTTCATCTTTCTCAAATTTCTTCAAAGTTTTCCGTTGTTCTTCAATAGAGGCCGTTTCTTTCTCTAGATCATTAATTTCGTCGACAATTTCTGTGTATGTCAAAGCAGAATTTGTATATCAATGATGTTAGCATCAAACTAAGAATCAGGAAAGGTGCAACTAAAATTGAGCGAATACTTATCTAAGCTCCTCCCTAAGCATATGTTCTCTTTCTTGTTCATCTTCCAACTCTTTCTGTAGTAAGTCTAATTCAGCATCAACAGCAACTTCAGATTCTGCAGCTGTAGCTTTCTGCTTGCAAATATCAATCTTCTGATTATAATCTAAGGTGCAAGATTTACGGTTAGTAAGATAAACAAATCGAGCCACAATTTTCTCATCTGTGGGGCATAAAATTTAGTCCAAACCATATTAAGGGCACCCAGGTACTCAAATAGAGTAATCAAAAAGCATTTTCTACGTAATGTAACGTAACCCGAAAAGCCAAAACATAAATGCATATTTGTTTATCAAACCACATGCCAAAACATAAACTGGCAGAGCTTAAGACTTACTTCGACTTCTTTATTTTTAACCCGTTAGGATATGTCAAAAATATACTAGTTATTTCAGTAATTTAAGTCTTAAGAGTTAGGTTCGAAAAAAGTAACTTAGCTATTTTCAGTTTTTACTCGTAGAAATGTTATCAATTGTAAAAATTACTTATTTACTTATAAATAAACTTACTAATAAGTACCAACAAGCCAACACAAAAACTGAAAATTCTGAATTTAATCTGGTATCCTGGGAAAAGCAAGTCTAATGACAGTAAGCATACCGAAAGAACAACAAATCAATTAAGTATTGTACCCAATTCCTCGCTGGTATCTTCTAAATCAATTGAAATAATTGACTTCTGAAACAATAGCTTCGTACCAGCATAGAACAGGAAAATATTTGATGCAAAAGCAAAGGACTTATTCTAATCATATAATTGCACATTTAACTCCATCTTTGAAATAGGTAGAAGTTATATATCACCCAGCAAAGACATGAAATTAACGCTGAAATGGCCTACTAAATTAATATCCTAATTTATTCCAGTTTCCATTCCGGCATCGCGAAAATAAAGTCATCAAATTATTCTCAATCTTAATAAATCCCATCACCAAATAACTAGACCCTCCCTCCGCCACCAACCTAAAAATGTACAATACACATAAATTAAATGATTACTGTGTAGAAACAAAAATAAATGAGAAAAAGTGGACCTCGAATGGATTTCTGAACGTGATCGAAATCTTGGTCACACTGGGATTGGAGGGTTTTGAATCGCTGCAAACATTGCTCCAAGCAATTGATGTACTTATCGCTTCTCAAGATCTGTACTAAGTTGTTACTGTACGTTATTAATTCTCCCGTGTCAATATTTCTTGATGTTCCCGCCATTTCTGAATTTAATGAAATCTAGGGTTCTTTTGCTTTTTCTATCCAGAACTCATAAAACAGAAAGCTGTGTAGAGGTTTTGGGGCATAGATTGCATATGAATTTGAACAGTTCCTCTCTTGTGTGACGACAATTGTTGAGATATGGAGTCTGAGATTTTGAATTGTTGATTTGAAATGGTATTTTGAAAGAAAAAAGTTGTAGCAGAGGGAAATAGCTCCTTTTCGAAATTGGGTGGGTTAATTATGCCACCGGTCACACAAATTTTCAATTATTACATTAATAGTCCTCGATAAATTCTATGTGATATCATTAAGCCCCGTTTGATGTCCTGAATAGTGATTTTTTTGGGAAAAATGTATGATTAAAAAGTACGAAAAAAATTGAATTTACGTGCGAATTGTTTTATTGAGTGAATGTATCGTTGAAAATTAAAAAAAAAAAAAACCTGTTTTCAAGAGAAAGAAACAGAAGCCAGTTTCATTGTCACATAATGGTATTATTTACTATATAAAGTCAATATTGGGAGTTAGAAATTGTTGATTAAACACGTCTAGATAAAAAAAACGTAATTCAACTTCAACAAATAATGACAACAAGTTGGCACACGATGGTGCCATATAGAGTTTTTTTTTTATTGTTTTTTTTTTATCGAATGACTATTTGTGTAATAGTGAAAATTTGAGTAACTATACCGTGAAAAAAAAAAAATTTCAATGACTTCACTGATAATTTGATAGTTGACGTAATTAACCCAAATTGAGCGTATTTGCTTATCACGAACAATATTTCATATGCATACTTGTTGAAAAATAACAAAAACTATTACTTCTCTAAAAAAAGCAAAAAAAAAAAAAAAGATAGTGAAATCTCTATAAAATAATAATGAAGAGATCGTGAAAAATTATTACTTTGGATTATTAGTTAATCGATAAACTCGTTAAGCATGCAATTTCTATCACCATAATAGATGAAGCAGAGGGACAGTGCAGTCACAAGAGATTTATTACTTTATAGATTTCTCATGGAAACCCAGCAAAAGCGTCGATATGTCCGAGTGGTTAAGGAGACAGACTCGAAATCTGTTGGGCTTTGCCTGCGCAGGTTCGAATCCTGCTGTCGACGATTTTTTAAAATTTTCCTCCTCAACCAAACCGGATTATTCCCTTGTGCATAAAGGTCCTAATTTGTAACATTTCTTGCAGACCAAGCTCGATCAAGGCCAATGCAGCGGTGCAGCCCACCGAATTCCCCAAATCGAATTGCTGCCTACTGAATTCAAGGGCATAAATTCTTTTTTGAAAGTAGCGGAGTTTGATTACCTTGAGAAATTTGATTAAAAATGGTGAATTAAAACAGTTCACTGGACTTTCTGCTTAAGAGATCACCATCCAGAGGAGCACTTATAGAATTTGCTGCCAAATCAGCCAAGCGGAGTCGACTCCATCCGTAGACACCCGAGCTCAGCTCGTGTCCAGAACCCAGCCTCAATTAAGCCCTTTGGCTCGTGAAGATCATGGACTCAAAATGAGCCATCCACGTGCACTACTCAATTTTATTTTTTAAAAAAATTAATAAAACAAGTTCATAAAATAGTCGACCCACGAACTCAAAACAAGTCAAGCACGCTCGGCCCATGAAATAAAAGGTTTCCTGCTTGGCACATGGCTCATTTCGAAACGAGGCCGAGCCGACTCGGCGACGGGAAGAATGGATAAGATAAATATGCACCAACAGAGATTGATAGGAAATAAAATCACTTGTCTGTATATAAAATATTTGCTATGTCTATAGCCAAAATAAAAGGTTATGAACATCAAAGACGTCAATTTAGCATCAAAACAACGCAAGTATTGAATGCATTTTATATTCTGTGATAGTACAATCCAGAAAAGGACTAGCCAAATTGTTCCCAATCCTGAGTTAGTTTAGTAGAAGATGGCCCAGTTGGCGGGGCATTTACACTAATAGAACCAGATTCAAATGTCTCCAACTCAGTCGAAACTGGAACAGAATTGCCAGTGTTGCTAAAGGGGTTGGAGTTCTTCGATTTAAGTATGTCCATTGTCTCCACAAAACTCTGGATACGACGCACCTGAACAGAGTATTAATTTTAGTGTTATAAATTTTCTTGGTAAAATATCCAAGTCCGTACAGAAGTAACTTCTATAAATATAACTCCGAGAGTCATATTCAGAAAGAGAACCATTCTTCAGCAAATATCAGTAAAGAAATTACTATATAGATAGATAGACAGAACATACAAAGAAACATATTGATACAATTGCTAACAATTTTGTCCGTTCCACCATCCTGACTTCAAGTTATTTATTTAATTTATAAGAAACGCAATTTTATTAATTAAAGATGTGGGACACTACTATTTGTTAAGAGCAGCTTCCAGATATGCAATGCACATGAACGAGGGTTTCAATTAGTTCAAGGAAATCTCAGGTTTATATTTGATTGTCGTAGAAAGTTCCCACAATTTGAATTTGCGTGGTCAGGGTGTTGGACAGTACTGTGGTGGGGATCTGAATAAACACAGGCATTGGTTGAAGCATAGGAGGCGAATGTGGTGCTGGTGGTTGCGCTCATATGGTGTGAGTGGTGGTGGTGGTTGGGTTGGGGGTAATAGGGGACGGTATTTCTTTGCAGGTGTACTCATCAGCAGTAGTGGTGGTGGTAGAAAGGGACTGCAGTGGCAAAGTTATTGAATTAGGCTATTAGGACAAAATTTTTTGTATTTCCTATATATGCTGAAGTTTTAATTAGAGAAACTGAGTTATCTACTTATCAAATGAAATCACATCGTCATTTATGATGAAAAATTGGAATAGCTCACATTATTTATCTGAGGGTTTAGCAGTGAAATTGTAGGGCTAGGTTGGGCCGCCATGTGCATGAGCGATTGTTCAAGAAGACATAACACATTTTTACAGAAAAGAAAATATGAGAAGTAACGACTTTTTTTCTTTTGGCAAGTAATGGTGTGGGGTTATACTTCTTTTAAAACAAAAAAGATGAAAAATTCTAACCACCTATGTAGAATAGACGACTAACCTCCATCTTTCTTTGCACTTTCCCTTCTCCTTCAGCTTCAATGCCATCCAATTTAAGTAATTGTCTCATAAGCATCTCCGTTACATAAACAATATCCTTATCATCAATCTTGGTACCGCCATCCACGACAGCTTGCAATGCAGACACCTATGATGCATTATCGCAAAGCCACTTACTTAAACAGTGTCCGAAGAAAGAAGTGACGCTAAAAGGGAAAACAAAAAACAAAACACAAAAAAATATACCATCGAAAAGATATCAACCTGTTCAGAAAGCTCGTCAACTTCTTTTCTGATTTCAGCAACAGCAGCACCTCCTCTCGAAACCACGCTTGTTTGTGTAACTTCTACAGGTCTTTCCACTTTGCATGTTGTATCCTCCACGAGTAATATTTTTGACATGTCCTTCACACCTGCCGACTGAAGATGTTCACTATCTTCTTTTTCTTTTCCTCTGAACAAGAGCTTGTGCGTCTCAGGATCCAAACAAATATTTTGGGTAACCATTAATTTCAGATCACCTGCATTCAAAAAAGCCAATACTTAGCCAAATGGATCCAAGAAGTATTTACATAATGACATTTCTCCATGTACAACGAAATTTTTTGATGCATTCAACCGCACCAATCATATCCTTGTATCAAAAAATGGGAACTGTAGCCACAAAGGGGCTAGGGGATTTGAACAAAATTATTCCATCCAGGACCCCTCACGCATAGAAGAAATAACTTGTACAAAATTATTCCATCCAGGACCCCTCTCGCATAGAAGAAATAACGACTTTCAAAGATAAGTCGTTCTAGGATAGGGGCTACGACAGTGCATGCCAATAGTTCAGAAAGTGTGCGTTAACTAATAAAGTAGATGTCATGAGCATACATTGTGGTCACCCCATGACCCCAGTAAAACAAGAACCCATCCCAAAAAGAGTAACTTCCCACCAAAAAGTAAATATGACATAGCAGGAAGAACCTGACAATACAAATCAATTGAACAATGACCATTGATGAGATACAAATATCATCTTAATGCCCATTAAAAAGGAAACAGGGAGGGAAAAAAATTGAAATAGCAAAACATTCAGATGGGAAGAACTTAGGGTCCGTTTGATTGCAGGGGTAGAAAATGGGTGGAAATAAAATATTTTATAGGGAATTGATTTTCCTAGAAAATGTTTTAGTGGAAATTGTAATTAATTGTGTTTGATTGGTATAATTTTTCATGGAAAATGTTGAAAGTTTGGTGTCCATTTGACTTCGTTTTTTATGGAATTTGTCCATCAAAGTGATAATTTTTTCTACCATTGAGTCTAAAATTTGTTTCAATTGTAAAAAAAAAAAAAAAATTTAAAAAAATTTACCATACCGAATATCATTTGTTTGACTTTGTTTTGCATGGAAGTTGTCAAATAAAAGTGAAACTTTTTTTTTACCATTGTATCTAGAATTTGTTCCCATTGCCCAAAAAAAAAAAAAAAAGCAAAAAAAAAAAGTGGAAAATGTTTTCCCACCAAATAGGTGAGAAAACAAAATCAAGATTTTGTGCATCAAAGGATTGTACCTAGAAAAAAGGTGGAAAACATTTTGCCAGGAAAATTTGTGCTATCAAACACCCTTAATTGGCTAAAATTAGAAAATATTTTCCTTTTCCACCAATTTTCTAGGCTATCAAACGGACCATTAGTCCACTGAAGGAGAAAAAGCACACTGTTGGGAAACACTCTTAACTCCTGTAATCCACTCCAAAAAAAAAAAGTTAATTCAAGGCTAATATATGAGCCATAAATTGCCACATGTTGCTGTTTCATTTTATTATCAACAAAGGCAATCTAATAAAACAAATAGAACCCTTGGATTGTAATATTGATATGATCAAACTTCAAAACATAGAGAGGAAAAAGGAATCAAGCATATACTCATTGACTACAAACAAACATGGGCAGAATTTGTGTGGGGATACCTGCTGGCTGCTACCATGCCGATCTTAAAAACTTTGATGTATGAATTAGAAAATATTAGATTTTACAATTTTGTCCCAACACAAAAACTTTTGTATATGAAAAGGTTAAAGATCAAATCATCTAAAGCTAACACAATAATTTAGCTTGAAAAACTCTGATACTCGGACTCTTCGAAATAGTTGGAGTACCCGTGTCGGATACGACACGACATGGGTATGGGTATGAGATATGTATCGGATCCTCCGAGTTTCAACCGGACACTTCGTTGTTTTTGCTTCTTTTTTTTTCTCTTTTCTTTCCCACTTTTGCTCTCTATAAACCTAGCGTGGTCATCAAGGGGGTGGAGAAAGATGGCGATACTAGGTTTTCCCTTCTTTTTCTTCTTCTTTTTTCTTTCTTTCCATTTTCTTCCATTTTTTCTTATTTCTCTCTCTATATCGATGGTTTAGGACTTTGTTTATATAATATGAAAATGAGTTCCATATAGAGCTACTTAGTGCTCCACTAAATTCAAATTACAATCGAGTTCCTCATTTTTTATTTTATATAATATTTAGTAATTTTCATTATTGAAAACTAAACCCTAAAAATTTGTCTTAACCCCTTATTATTCATTGTCAATAATTAATTTTGGTCAATTCAAAATGACATCCTGAATTAATAAAAAAATTGAAATTTGAAAGACGTACCCACGTACCCGTGTGCGAAAGTTGGACTTTTTTTAACCATGTCCCCGTATCCTATATTTTAGAAAATAAAAGATCCGATACATAGATACATACCCGAGTCCGAGCAACATAGTTGAAAAATCTTCTCTTACACACCCACTTTCTGCCACCATTTTCCCCACTCTTAAAGATTTCCCTGAAGAAACAACTATTCACCAAGAGAATCTGATGATTGGTAAGTTTTCCCTTTTCCTTTTTGCTAAAGAGTTAAATTTTTGGGCCAGGAAAAAAAGTATTAAGTTTTGATGCCAGGGTTTCACTTTGAGATTAGTAGCTGCCTTCAGATGTAAAAGGAGGTGAGTTGGTTTCCACCGTGTTTGTTTTCTAGGCATTTTTATTATTCTTCTTACACAGTGCTTGAGAAATTCATGATCTAATCAATTATTAAGCCTTTTTCCACAGGAAATATGAATACTAGATTCATAAGATTCTGCAAATTAGACTAAATGAGCCGTTAATTTCATAAAAGATTTATAATATTCCTTCCCTTTCACCCTTCAATGCAATAAAAAGAGGGGAAGAATCCAAATAAAGCATTACAATCACAATCAATTAAAGTAACAAAAATAATATTCCATTACACAAAAAGAGAATAAACTCTTTGCCAATTTCACAATTTGCTCACTCTAGCTCCAAATTTTCATGCAAATTTACAGAAGGAAACGCCAAACAAACCAAATAGACAGAAAAGTTGGCTGAACTAAATTTCTAGAGACAGTCTACAATAACGAATGTGTGATTGATATATGGTTTTACCCATCTATTTCTCCCATTTAGTTTAGCCTCCATTAGAGATTCAGTAGTATGTAATTTTGTTGGCTTGCTGTTGTTATTCGACTCAATAATGGAGATTTCTTATGATTTTTTTTTTTTACAGTCTTTATTGCACAATACTGTTTAAAATGATACATAAATGTTATGTTATAGTAATCTTCAATCAGTCTAATAGTTGTCCATACAAAATTTTATTTTATTTTATAACTTTAGATTGTTATTATCTCTTCATTTACCCCTACAATCCAAAAATCATGGCTCCGCCCCAGCATTAACATAGCTGCACTATCTAGAAGCACGTATTGATTCTCGAAAACTATAACTAAACAAATAACATGAATAAAACCCAACAACCAAGTAATGTCCCAAAACTTTTCACCGCATATCAAATAAACAAGCATAGATTCATATTATATACATAAGCAACTTTACAGAGATAGCAAAGCAACATACACTGTCCCGCGTAGAAAGCAATAACAAGAATATCCTAAATCCTAAAGAAGAAGAAAGTACCAAAAGTGGAGTTAGCGGGCACAACGACTTCGTAGAGGTTGTGCCCATGCGAAACCGTGATGCTTATGGAACTAGGCCCATGATCAGAAGCATCATGCTCCTCTCTCCTGTGAACATCATTATTGCTGTTTTTTCCATTTTCTGGGCTTGAATTTGAGCCCATCATCGCAGAATCTGCTAGGGTTTTGCAGAGTGAAACAAAAATTAGAGGTTTGGATCGAGTGTTTTGAGTAGTCTTTTTCAATAGCAGACGGTTGGTGGATTTAATTCTGGATGGATATATTACTTTACTTTTTAATTTGGTGATATTTATGCTATCCACTTAATAAGGTGAGGATAATTCTTCTCTATTAAATCGATTTTATTAGGTTGAATTAGATCTAATATCCATTTTAATATGGTATCAGAGCAGACACAGTTTTGCAATTTGGGTGCACCCAATATCGATTTGTTCACAGTTGTTTGGCATGGTCCACGCTGTGCTGAGGGGGTGTATTAGAATCCCACATTATTTGGGAAAATATAAATAATCAACTTAATAAGGTGAGGGCAATCCTCCACTAATAAGCCGATTTTATTAGGTGAAGTNTGCACAATATCCTTTCTAATATGGTATCAGAGCAGACCCAGTTTTACAATGTTGAGTGCACTCAATATCGATTTGTTCACAGTAGTTTGATACGGTCCACGCTGTACGTGAGGGGACGTGTTAGAATCTCACATTGGTCGATGATATTTACACGATCCACTTAATAAGGTGGGGACAATTCTCTCCCAACAAACCGATTTTGTTAGATTGAATTAGGTGAAATATCATTTCTAATACTTTTCCAACATAAATAGTAACGGTTGGCTAATTTGACAATTAGAGGGCAATCACTCTTCAATTCAAAATCCGAGTTTTCCACGAATAAATAATTAATTGCAAAGTACATATACATAGTAAACAAGTCCAGTATAAAACTATAAGTTACCAAATAAATGTGTCAAATTATCACGTTTTTAGCAAACATTATTCATTAACGTTATAGGATTTTGACTTTAATGAAGCCTTTGTTTGGAAAAAAATATAAGGTCGTGTTTGATAGGTCATATTTTTCGGGAAAGTAGGAAAATATTTTTCATTTTTCACTTTTTTGGCTGTTTGATAGGCGAAATTTTTCATGAAAAATATTTTCCGGATTTTCCCCACACTTGTGCAATTTTCGTATTTTTGATGAAAATGTTTTCCCGCCTTTTTGATGGGAAAATATTTTCCCGGCTGGCTGTAAATTTTTTTTTTTTTGTCACTGGAAACAAATGTCATAATTAATGATAAAAAAAATTCACTTTAATGGACAATTTTCATGTAAAGCAAAATCAAACGAATACTAAACTTTGATTAAAAAATGATTTTTTAGAAAACAATTTTTTTTCTCCTTTTTTTTTTAACTTTTTGGCAATGGAAACAAATTTTATAACTAATTGTGGAAAAAAAATCACTTTAATGGACAATTTCCATGTTAAACAAAGCCAAACGAATAGAAAATTTAAAAATTTTTCGGGTGGAAAATTATACCAATCAAACACACTTGAAATTATTTTCCTTGCAAAATATTTTCTAGACAAATCTTTTCCCTATAAAATATTTTCTTTCCACTCATTTTCCACCCTTACAATCAAACGCACTCTAAGTAGTTTTAATTCGTTATAGAAATGAGATAATTACTTTTTATCACCAATTTCAAAATGAGGTTGTTTTGACAGGTGATAACTGGAAGACATGCACTTTATTTTATAATTTATTAAATACATTTTCATCTTCAATGAAATGTAAATCATGTTTCTTCAATTTAAATTACATTTTACCTTCATTGTTAAATTTTTTTTAGTGTTTTTACAATGCGGTGGTGAAGATTCTCCGTTATTCTAAATACATGTCATGATGGAAAATACTTTCAAAAATATGTCCATCATGTACCAATTATGTGTTTTCCCAGATGCAATGTTTGATCACAAACTCGAGTTACGCAATGCTGAACATTACTTTCAGTTACTTCAAAATAGTTTTAAGTTTTACATTTGAAACAAATATATCCTCATTACGAGAAAAAATTATAAAACTGTGTAATTTGTACTCTAATTAAAATTACACAAATTTAACTTTCATGAGTTTGAAATGTATGAAAATGCTTGGAATAGGACGAGACATTAGTAGGGCTAACTTCTTCAATTTGCTTCAACGGTAGAATGCACAATAGTGTCAATACATAGTATTGTCTAGTATAACTCGGAATTTGTTTACAGCACCCACAACACTCAGAGGTGTTTGGCATGTTATAAGAAATCATGTGTTGGATCGAAATGCATTGCGTGACTTGGACAACAATACAACTCGAATAGAAGCATATGTTTGTTTTGTGCTAGTGACTTAAAGAAGATGAATTCGACCTTTCGACATCTTTTCAGTTTTACAATTGTAAACTAAAAAAAAGTAGTATTATAAGTATATTTCATTTATCCTAATTATTATTACATTGTATTAGTTCATGTTTCTATACAAAATTGTATACTCAATATTAATTTTACATTTTATAATTCTTTTAATAAATTTTTTTGACAAAATAATGTTTTATTTATTCCCACCATTACTTTAGACGTCAAGGTTAAAAAGTTTCTTATGACTTCATTACCCTTTATGGGGATAAAAATATAGTTTTTAGTTTTTCACACACAAAAATGAAGAGTTGGTGGTCGCTTACAAGTAGAACCAAAATTTTCAAAATTGAGTCAGCTCGTGCTCGGCTCACCCCTATTTGCTAGTGCGACGTGGCTCGCCATGGGACGAGCCGAGCTAGATAGTTGTGCGGCTCAACCCACTTAACACCCATAGGGATATGCATCCTCGGTTCATATCGATTGCCGTATCAAGCATGGGTTTGTTCTGTTTTTCCCTAGATTCAAGAGCAATCTTGATATTTCCAAAGGCAAGGACTTCCAAAGCACTTTGAGGACTGTTATACAAAAATAGAACTGAAAAATTATAGATCGAACAAACTTGAAAACCCTAATACATTTGAACTACTCCTAACAACCACCGAGCATCAAGATATCAACGATCGGAGGCTCAGAATACTATCACCATAATACCAACACCATAAAAGCCCAGATCTAAACAAAACCCTCACGATCCACTGGCCAAACGCGTAGCTTCTTCTGTAGACCAAAAGAGCTAAACGTTACCACAATCACAGTATGTTTCCTTCACCAGATTCACAAAGAACAGCACTCCAAGAAACAGATTCAAGAAATCCTCACAGAGAAGAAGATGAAAGAACTGAGAGAACTAAATACTTTATAAACCCTCAAAAAGCTCAAGAAGAATACGAATGAAAGTTATAAAAACCAATCATATACCCAACAAAATATCTATGCATCGAGCTTGGGCATCACTTCATCCAACGGTCTAGAGAAACACAAGCTTTTGGCCAGATCGGGTATTAGGCTTTAGTGAGACACTAGGCTTCCATTTCAGTTATAAATGGGCAATTAGTAATTGGACCGAAGGCCATTCATCATCGCCTAAGTGGGCTGGACACGACATCATCACAACCCACAATCTCCACCTTGATGCCAATGGTTAATCAGGCAGCTAATTCTATCCTACACTCTATAAAACAGCTTCCAGTGATCACCATCCAATACATCAAGTTCAGAATTGGTACCTGCAATTAGCAAATCACCTAGTATGAATTTTCAACATTTGCAAACAAGATTTAAACTTGACTAAAGGTAGTACCTTTGTACCCATATCAGCTGGATTAAATTGGGTAGTAATTTTCTCAAGTAATAAAGCATCTTTAGCAACAATATCTCTTATGAAATGCAACTTAACATCAATATGTTTTGTTCTTTCACGAACAATTGGGTTTAGCACTTTGACTATCAGAATATAATGCAACAAGATTAGTTAATTTATTTATTTCAGATAGTAAACCTTTAAGCCACAAAGCTTCCTTTATGGCCTTTGTTGCAGCCACATATTTAGCCTCAGTAGTTGACAAGGCTACAACATGTCGCAATTGTGATTTCCAACTAATACTTGTTCCACACAAAGTCAAAAATAAGTGATAGTAGATTTTCTATTATCAATATTACCAGCAAAGTCAGAATCAACAAAACCTTTAAGCACTACTCCATCATTGTAGGCACTAAAACACAATCCTAAATGTGAAGAACCTTTCAAATACGTCAATAACCATTTTAATGCAGTCCAATGTTATAAATCAGGATTTGCCATTAATTTGCTAAGATTACTAATAGCATGAGCCACATCAGGCCTACTATAAACCATTGTATACATCATAGATCCTACAACATTAACATAAGGAATCTTTTCCATTTGTTTAACATCAGAATCATTGACAGGACATTGGTCTTTACTCAATTTAAAATGGCTAGGAAGTGGTACATACACAGATTTTGAATTATGCATAGCAAATCTAGTTACCAATTTATCAATGTATGCAGTTTGTTTCAAAATCAGAATTCTAGTATTCTACCATGCCTTTTCCTAGTTATTTCCATGCCCAATATCTTCTTAGCATGTTCAAGATCTTTCATTTCAAATTCAGCACTCAAAGATCTTTTAATTTCATTAATAACATATATGTTATGTCCAATTAGAAGCATATCATCCACATATAAGAGTATAAAAACAACAATATCATTTTCATCATCTCTTTTAAAATGTAAATAATGGTCAAATTCACTTCTTACAAAGCCACCAGAAGAAACATAAGTATTCAACCTTATATACCATTGTCTTGGGGATTGCTTCAAACTATACAATGATCTTTTTAACAAACACACATGTTCAGGTTTAGATTTATCAATATAACCAGGTGACTGTTTCATATAAATCACTTCATCAAGATCACTACGTAAAAATGCAGTTTTTACATCAATTTGTTCAATTTCAAGATTACAATGAGTAACAAGAGCCAACATAACTCTAATAGTAGTATACTTAATTACAGGCGAAAAGATCTCATTATAGTCTAAGCCTTCATTTTATGTAAAACCTTTAGCTACTAGTCTAGTCTTAAATCTTATAAGAACCTTCTCAGCGTTACCCTCCTTAGGGTGTGTTTGAGCCATATTATTTTGGAAGAATGTATTTTG